TTATTTCAAAATTGAAGTTATCATATGACAAATATTCAGTGGACAAAGTTTGAACAAAAATCTATTGTCACTTTTATTTCAGAGGAATTACCTTAAGAGCGAAGTTCTATTTGTGCTTTGATATAGTCACTAGATATATGTTTTCTTTTTGTTGGAAAGGGTAACATAATTTTTTGACCAGTATAGTTAATGAAAGACAGATTAAGTTGACTTTCCCAAATTAAAATCGGAGATCTTCCTGTCAGTCCTAACACCACTAAAGTTTAGTTTACTTTAGTGTTGTTGTTGTTGTTGTTTTTTGGCTAAGTCCTCTTTGCTTGTTGTACAGATTCTTGTAGTAATAGGTTCCATTCGTGATGCGCCATACATTGTTTTTCTCTTTTCAGATTTATGTATCATTTGAAGTTGTTGCACTGTCCGCCAATGGCTCAGATTACAGAATCCAGTCAACAAACATCACCTTAGTAGAAAAACAACGAGAGGTCGGAGTTCCTGTAGACATTGTTCACGACTTGACACCAGAGTTTGACGAGATCTTTCAAATTACATTGACCAGTGTAGCTGGTGGTGCAGAGCTTGGTTCTCAACGGCAGTGTACAGTTACTATACTGGAAAATGACTATCCTTATGGCTTAATAGGTTAGTGTTCACCTGCATTGAGTATTTTTACTGTAGTGTTCGTTGGAGTGAGGTCTTCAACTTCTGTGAGAGTCAAGTGAATGTTCTAAGCTTTCACCGATCCACGGCATCATAAGGGGTAGAAAATATCCCGCCATACAGCTATATTTAGTAACGCGGATAATGAGGTTTGATGTAACAGCAAACATTGCTGATGAAAAGTTATCTGTCTTTTTACTACTTGAATGTGATTTATGAACAGAGTGTTTTGAGCTTTTGCTTAATGCTAACATTAATTTTGATCAGGTGGCTTTCATATTAGTACTTTACTGATTCTTGAGGGAAGTGTTATTTCATTTCATGTAAGACGGTTACATTGGTATAAAATCTAGATCTGAGCTAATGACTGGACACATACCGCCATCCTGAGAGGAAAATTATTTAGTCCATGGTTAGCAGACAGGACTTTCTTTCAACTCTGAAAAGGAGAAAGCAACGCATCCGTTTGAAAAATCAAGGCAAATTTCTGTTTAAGGTGCCATGCTTAGCTTATGGAGACACTGTACATATTTTTAACTACACCACTGTATCATACTTTTTTATGGTCCTATGTGCTACCTGTACCTAAGCACGAAGAGATTTTGTGTGCGTATCGTTGGTTGTTGTGAACAGAGTGAACAGACAAACTTCCACTCATGATTTTCTTGCTTTAGGCTTTGACAATGCTTCATTGTCGAAATCAGTCGTTGAGAGAAGCACACTCAGCCCAGAGACGCTGACAGTAAAACGGCGATTTGGTCTTCGAGGTGGATCCCGAATTCACTGGGAGGCGCGGTTGGAGGGGGTGTTAGCTAATGACGATATTGAACCAGTCGAGGGCGATCTTGTATTTGCTCAGGGAGAAGACGCCAAGACAATAAATTTTAATGTTAAACCAGATGCTACACCTGAGATTCTAGAAGTAAGTGATCATTTAAAAATATAATATGTTCTTAACTTGTCTTCTCTTAGGATAAGTTTTCAGATGAAGAGGAGTGTGATCATTTGACTTGAAGCGGGTTGTTCAACCCTGGTTGAATGGTCCCAGCATATTGATCCAACATCTTCCATCATTGTTGGGCCTTCTTTGTGTTTCTTTTTTGACCAACCAAAGGAATGTAAAATGGTTAGCACGTGGCTTGTTCCACATGGCTTCGTCGAGTGAAATGGAAGGTGTTTAAACATGAATGAAACTTGTGTTCCGAGATGTCTCAACCGGATGTTCAAACTGTTGCAACATTTTCACCCAAGAAAGGTGGATGATGGTGGATCAAGATGTTCAGACAATTTGAGGAGCGAACAACTAAAAAGCTATTGCGTCATGAGTGCAGTCAAAGCCGAAATAAATGTACAAAATCATATCACAAAGAACTTTGTTGGGCTCCATGACCATTCCCCTCTTGTAACTACGATCGGGCTTTTAGAGTTTTTCTTTTTGTTGGACTCCATAAAAGTTCCCTACTATTAACTAGGATCTGGCCGGTAAAGATTTTGTTTTTTACTGATGAATGATCGTCATTGTTTATTTTAGTCTACTTTGACTATTTTATTAGTTTTCATTTGTTTATTTTGTTTTATTTTATTTTGTTTTGATATTTTGTTTTTCTTCTTTTATTTTATTTTGTTTTGATCACCTTCAACAGCCCTTGGACAACAGTTCTGTAACCGTAAGCATGCTGAGATAAACATAAATGGCTTTGAAGAATAACTTTAAAGAAAATCTATTACTTTGATATTTTAATAAAACTAAATAACTAATAACTAAAATAACTAATAACTAAAATTAAACGAGGAATAAAACTGTATTTTTGGGACCATCTAGAAGAGGAAATGCTAAAAGAATAATTTTCATTTATATGAACTATATGATTTAAACTGTCAACACAGCCCATAAGGAATATCTTAGGGCAGTAAAATAAACATATCTAAACCATTGCATATTTTTTGCGTTGTGTATAACACAATTTTTATAAACATGAAAATTAATATGTACCTAGTTTCACAGATACTGATAGCATCAACTTTTGGTATCAAGTAGTGATGACACGGAAGACAGATTATAATTGTGACTAACATTGAAAGTAGCCACTCCTTTAATAATTAACCATTATAAGATTATTGATAAACTCAGAGTTATGATTTTCCACCTTTTAACTCAAAATGTCATGATGTGGCAATTACTTCTTTAAACCTTTGTCTCCTAAACACTGCCAAAGTACGGGTAGAGCTTTGATAGAATTGCGTAGATTTTTCACTTAGAGATTATAACTAACAAATAGGTGATACTACATGAATTGAACTTACAAACTCAAAAGTCAGAACTGCTTTCATGGACTACTTTACAGAACTACTTTACATGACCTCCGTTTTGACTTTGGCATAATATGTTTCCTCTTACTCTAGATAATCAAGTTCAACCTGACCTCAGTGACATCTTTGTCAGAGGGGACCCCATCACTAGATCAGGCAACTCGAGTTGCCAACGTGCGAATTGAAGCTAATGATGCTCCCCATGGGGTGGTGGAGTTTGCACAATCCAGTTACAATGCCTCTGAGGGAAGTACAACGTACCTGTTGGTCTTACGACAGTTTGGTACAGCAGGCGATATCAGAGTATTCTACAGGTTTGTGCTTATTTTAATACTTCCTTACACTCTGCCGCGGAAAGTGGACGCTCATTTTGCTTGAGTACGATTTTCAGGAGCCAAAAAAAAAAAGTGTTCTCTTTGATCGATTATTGAACACAGTGGCCCAGATTGAAATGATTCTAGAATGCCATGCTTACATATTGTTTTTAATTTTCAGACACGAGATGTGATCTGTAAGTTATGTAAATTATCCTGCAAATTTTTGACCGATGTTTTCTCAATAATTAATTTCAGTCTGAAAAGCAACGCATTGTGGAGTCTGTGATCTCTATTTTTGCTCATATTCTTGGCTTCCACACTTAATTGTGTTGATGAACACATACACGTGCCATTTGATCGTATTGTATGCTACTTGAAAATCGTTGAAACAGTTGTGGAGAAATTCGTTTTTGTTGTACATGTAGCACTGTAGTAATTTGTTGCTTGCGGCTTTCACAGCACTGTGGAGCATGTTGGAGGGAATCAAGCAGCGCCAAACGTAGACTACAATGCCACAACAAACAGCTCTATAATGATCCCCAGTGGACACGACTCAGCAAACATCACTATTTCAATCCCTGATGACCTCAACCCTGAACTGGGAGAAGTATTTGATGTGATTTTGGAACATGTGGAATTGGTGGGACAGTCATCGCCTACCCTTCCACCTCAGCTTGGTGGAAACCAGAGGGCTGCAGTGACAATAGTGACCAGTGACGATGCACATGGTTTGATTGTCATCAAAGCTGTTGATCCAGATCCTGGGAGTCATGGCAGTCGCAAAACAGTTAATGAAACTGAAAACTTGTTGGTTCACTTTGCTATTGAAAGACTCAAAGGTAATGACGAATTTCTCCAAAGGATAATAGATTTCAAACTTGTTTTTGAAAAATGCTTTCACATTCAATTTGAAAATTAAAAAAATTCCAAATTTCATTTTCAAACATACTGACAAGCACGCATCACCACTCAAATTAACTGTGCTATGCAATAGTTCGAATGTTCACACTCTAGGATTTCATGCCACGTACAAAATTACCTTTAAATGGAAGGAAACCTGAAAATTAAAGTTTCCTGAGATAGAAAAACACAAAGAGATAGTAATAGAACATAAAGAAACAAGGATGGTTAAAGATAGAAAAGGTTAAAACGGATTACAAACGAACAAAATTTAGGCTAAACTTTTCAATATGCGCAAATCGTGACAGCTCCCTTAAAAGTTAGAACAGCATTCTAGTGGTCGAATTAAGATGTGGATCTAGAAGATTAAGTTTTTTCAAGCTTCATGTCACTGCATTGACAAAATAGTTCTCTTGCTGGGACATGCGCACATTTCGCAAAAGACTTGGTACAAGGAGTTTGATACATGCGCATCGAAAATGGTGGCTTGTATGCGGAGGTAATTTTCATTTTTAATTTATATTGTGACCTAATTTTGCTTCTTTTGTTACATGTATAAAACTATCAGAAAGATTAACAAAACAGTGGTTCGTGCAAAGATGTTTACTTAGTAAAAAGCCTGTTAATCACGTTGAGCCTCATTCTTCACTCTAATTGCAGTTTTGAGACATTGTCGTGTATTTTGTGAATACGTAGGTACCATTGGTCGTGTGACGGTTGATGTAGAGGTACAACAAAATGGTGCCACTATCAACAGTGACTTCATAGCGAGTGGGTCGACATTTACATTTAACGACAAAGACAACAGTAGCAAGAGCTATTTCATAAGCATAAAAAGTGATGACATCCCAGAGGCCGACGAGGAGATTATCATCAAGCTGGTCAATCCAACTGGTGGTGCAACAGTAGCACCAGGTCTGGGAAACAACGTGACTGTCATCATCCAAGCAAACGACGGTGTCGCTGGACAAGTTGGATTTGATGAACAGTCCAGGTCCCTTGTTGTCAAGGAAGGCAGCCAGGTTTCCTTGACTGTTAACAGAACCCAGTCAGTCGGACGTGTCTCAGTTGACTGGCATGTGTCCGGGCCAAATGCTTCATCAGATTTTGATGTCATTAGTGGTACTGTCACTTTGAATGAGGTAGGTATATTCATGCTTTGTATATCAATAAAAATGCAGAGAAAAGTTTTGGAACTGCAAAGTTAATTTATTTTTATTGTTTTCTCGACGTTCAAGAAAGGGGCTTTTACGTGACGTTAATTTTGAGCTGGTCCACGTGAATATTGATCCTTATTTTCAGTAAATTGGAGGTCTCTCTTTGGTATCATTACAAAAGATTGAAGTGAATTGGGGGTGAACTTCCACTTATTATTGCAGCTCTAGATGTGAGCGATGTTATTCCGCGAAGACAGTCAGGGTAATTCTCAGCTATATTTTTTCCAGGGTGAAACATATAAAGCCATAGACCTAACAATCCGGAATGACTCCACCCCAGAAACTCATGAAGTGTTTGTGGTCCAGCTGAGCAACATTCAAACCTTCGACATTGCGTCGACTGGCCAAGCCAGCTTCATTCCAGGAAAAACAACTGCAACGATTAGTATCAGTGCTAGTGACAGACCCCATGGTGTTGTTGAACTTGAAGCTGGATCACGGTTGGTGTCTCGAGCAGATGAGAAGAACTTTACTCTGACGGTGTCCAGGCTGTTTGGAAACATTGGTAGGTGGTAACTTTGCGGCCTACAATTTTTACATTCCGCAGAACAAGCAGTTTTCAGTTTACAGCTATATCCCTACCTCCAAAAATTGACCCAAGCATAGGCTTTCATAGAGAGTCTTCATTGACGTGGCTTCTTAGTATGACGGCAAGATGACGTAATGCCATGTGTGTGTGCGTGTGCCAAAGTGACTTCCTAATTAACACCAGAAATTGTTGGTTTAAGTTGTATCAAGCGTCCTTCTTGGAGTATAACTTGGGATCCCCCTGGTTGGGAAGCTAGTCCATCACAAGGTTACCCCCAGTATTAAATTTGCCCTTACCCATTTATACGCCTGGGTGGCGTGAGGCACTGCGAGAGGAAAGTGTTTTTCCCGAGAACACANCCCCCCCCCCCAGGAACTACATCAAAAATTGCTGGTAGCCAGTTGTATTCCTGGGTAGATAGACTTACTGGAAGAGTGGTCTTGCCGCAGGTCAGCCACCGGCTCAAACCTTTCTATTTCAATCCAGAGTTCAAGAATAACGATTAGGCCACATTTTGAATGTACTATAACAATACATGTAGTTCATTTATATCAAGCTCAACAGATATGTCAGTGTAAACTGCCATGCTTATGAGCCACTTTCGCTAAGTAACCTTTATTCACATTGAGATTCATTCAGATACCCTAACAAGGATTTGTAACCAAGGTTTGGAACTGGCCTCAGTTTGTTGATGATACCAAATCAACTTATGTTGATGTTATTTTACCCGTCAGGTGCCATAAGAGTTTATTTTGAAGCCGTACGTGGCAACATTACAGCGCTACAATCCGACCAGGGATTGGCCTTGCCCGGAGTTGACTTTGTCGCTGGGAAGAGAAGCATTGTGATTGGCAACAATGAAGATGTTGGCTCCATTCCTGTTTGGGTCGTAGACGATGACACTCCAGAGCTCGGTGAAGTGTTTTTAGTGAACATTACAGGAGTGGAATTGGTGAATACGTCACAACTGGGTAACACCATTCCGCCCAGCTTGGGAACACACCGTGTTTCTCAGATCACGCTGTTGCCTAATGATGATCCTAATGGAGTGTTCAGGTTTCAACAGGAAAGGTAATACAAAGGGAAATGCTTTCCGAATCCCATCAATAGATCGTCAAGCAGACAAGTGATGTGATTAGATGCAACCATCAACTAGGGGATTATGTGGTGATATATCACCAAATTCATGACCATTTGAAATGAAAAGAAATTGATGGAAATCAGTTATAGAATCTTAAAAAATTAGATCTAGACTGTGAACAGAAGTGCGCGTTAATGCGATTTTGAGTATTTTATACATACATGCGTACTTTATTTTTGCCTCCCCAGTGGGACTTTTCAGGAACAATGACTTTTAGCACGGTATAGCAGAGTGTAGTACGGTATAGTCATTTTGGCTAAAGGAGCAGTAAAGGCAACCTTTATTCACAGTTTACTCAGATAGACAACCATGGGCACCGAAACATGGTACATTTTTGAACTTGAAACGTTACATTTTGGTATGGCATCCGTGACATAAATGTAGCTTCTTCCGCCCACCAGCTGACTGGGTGTGTTACTGTTCATGTGGAATTTACATCTTGGAAAATAAGTTTCACGTTTTCCCCTTGCAGATGATTCATCTAAAAGAAAGTGTAGGTGCTTTTGAATTTTGCCTGGTTTCATAGCCAGGTTTCATTTGAAAGACCTTGGCAACATTGCAATGCTCATGTGCCCATGTGAGCCACCAAGAGATATTCTACATTTTCAAAGGACGTATTACCCAGGACTAATTTATTGAGTTACCCAATTTAATGTGGAAGATTCCTTTTCTCTAAGGTTAATTCGAACATGCTAATTATTATTATTTTTTTAAATAGGGTGTATCTCACAGAGTCACCAAATCCCTACAGCCTTTCCGTGTTACGTGATAAAGGAACATTTGGTCAAGTTCAAGTCAACTATTTCGTAGTGCCAAACTCTGCTGCTCGGGATGATTTCAACATAACAGGTTGGACTGGTCCTGAAGTAACCCTGGTGTTTCCAGATGGAGTAAGCAAACAAGACATCACAATATACGCGATAGACGACAGTTTATCTGAAGGTGATGAAACTCTTCAAATTGGCTTAGCTCGAAACTCTCAAGGTACAGCCATTGGAGCTCCTTCCACACTTGATGTTGTAATTCGTGCTAATGACGATGCTTATGGTGTGTTTAATCTTGCGCCATCCTCCTTGAGTAAAACAATCTCGGAGCCCGGCACAGGACCTGTCACTGAGGCAGAGTTTGAGATTGTTCGAAGCGTTGACTCGTACGGAACTGTGACTGTGTATTGGGAAGTTCTCAATGGTTCTGCATCAGCAGATTTGTCTCCAGTGAGTGGAAATGTAACGTTTGCGGATGGCGACACACAGAAGACGTTTAAAACAAAAGCCTTGCTTGATTCTACACCAGAAAAGGCAGAAACGTTTGTTATAAAGCTGAATATCTCTGGTGAGTTGAAAAGTGTATTTCAAATTCTTCAACTACAAATTTTGCTGTATAAAATGTTTCAACGATGGAATATGTAATTGTAGAAATTGAGGTGAAAACATTAGGGAATTTACGTTCTCAAGACTGGAAATGGTGGAACATTAAAATGTCATCTAGTACCCAGCTCCACCCGTTTTTCGAAATGTGGTTCATATTTTTTCTTGATTACGTGTTGAGTTGTCAGAAATGTGACTCAAGACTTAGCTATGCTTATTAAATGGTGGTTTAATGAAGTAACACTTTTAGATGCGACAAGTACTTCGTGAATGAGGGGCAATGAAGGAAGTCAAAACGAGTGCAAACACTGAAGTATTAATGCCCCACTCACACAAGCTAAACTAGGTTAACTAAATCAGATTTAAGTTTCAAACCACCTTTCTAACATATTTTAATCAAACAGGTTTTTACCTTGTTAAATTGTGGGGTGTGCATGGTAATAGCAATTAACCTTGTTTTGTTAAACCAGTTTTAAGCATGTTTAACATGCTGGTGTGAACGGGGTATTACACTGAATCGTTACTTGGCGACTAACATTGAAGATCAACTGATTCTTTTCTGGTTTTATTTCTCAAAGGGAACGGACGATTAACACAGCCATATGAAGCACTGCTGACCATAACCGAGAATGACTCACCGTATGGAGAACTGGAAATAGTGTCCAGTTCCTCAATGAGCAGCTCTGTCGACATAGAAGAGGACCAAGGTATTGTCAAGGCCAAAGTCATTCGCAACAAGGGAGACTTCGGAAGAATAACGCTAGATTACAAGACAATGTCGCAAACGGCCAGCTCGACGTCTGGGAATGTTGTTCACTTTGATAAGCTACAGCAGTTGAAGACAATGGGCGCGTACAGTTGGCATGCATTTTCTGCTTTTGGTGATGAATATGTTTTGCTTGCTAGTAATAACAGAACTGGACCTTTACCTTCTGAAGTTGATGATGTTGATATGGGTGAATATTTTGGTTCTGCCTTGTTCCGTTGGCAAGGGGTACTTGTGCCTTTGCAGGTGAGAATGCTGTGTTGCTAGCAAAGGGTGCCAATAGTCCAGTTTTAATGTGGCTAAATGTAATTTAGGCACAGTTAAACCAATCGAAAATCTTCTCTTAACACGATTCTGTGATCGCTGTGTTTCATTTTAGACCATTGCTACTGATGGAGGAGTGGCCTGGGACTCTCTGGTTGTCGGAGACCAAGTTTACCTGGCAGTTGCCAATCATGGAAGCAAAGGACGGTACGAGACACACTCCAGAATCTACACCATGGACAGCACTGCTAAATTGACTGTTATTCAGAACATTTCTACTCAAGGAGCATCTGATGTCAAATTCTTCCATCCTCCTGGACTAAGTGATATCTATCTTATTGTGGCAAACCAGATTGATAACGCTGGACAGACGCACATCAGTTCCCAGGTAATGTGTCTCGGCTGTCTGAGGTTATTGCGCACTTTCAGAGATTTAATGTAAATCTTAATCGTAGGGTGAACAGGTTTGTAGAACAGCCCAGTTCTACATTGGTAGAATGCTAAGCTGCTTACACCAATAATTTGGATTTGGGAAGGGGTTGGGTGTGTTGGGCGAGTGAGGTCAAGGAGTAGTCCAGCAGCTTCAGGTCAATTCTGAGTACATATTGCTTCGTCCTCGCCTAGTCTCGATCTTTTTACGGCATCACCTTTTGGATTTGAGCCCGTGCTTGTTACAGAATAGTGTGCGGAGAAATTTCCAGTGCACGCATGTTCGTCTTGTACACATTTCCACGTCAAATCCCCTGGGAATGCCACAAGTTTTCTATAAGCGCTCACTATAACCTGGGAATGCATGGAGTAACTCAGTTTGATCCCTTTATGTTTATGTTTAATCATTTCAGCTTTCCGTTGTTTTTTACTAAACTGTTCCGTCCTGTTTCTCATATCCAGGTTTACAAATGGCAGGGTGGCAAATTCGTTCTCCAAAATGCCAACCTCGACAACACACGCAGTGCGTCTAGTCTAGCTGTCTTTGAAAACGCCGGAACTCTAAAAGTCGCCATAGCTTTCTTCAATGACACTACAAGTTCACAAAGCTACCAAACGAAATCACCTATTTACGAGTGGGAAACGAGTTCAAACACATTCGTCTTACTGCAAGAAATTGACACAAATGGTCCATTAGGAGTGGAGTACTTTGAACACAAAGGAGGGCAGTACTTAGTGTTTGCTAATTCCAAGGCGTCAGTGGAAATATTCCAGTGGAATGGAATCAGGTTCAACAGTGTGCAGCTCCTTCCTACCTCACATGTTCTGTCAGCGAAACCATATGCTGTACTTAACAATGGTAATATTTGTAATGAATTTTGTGTTAGATTGTAAAAGGTCTTGGTCATTGCTGCGACATGTCATTTTGCTCTGTTTTAGTTTCTGCTCATGCAGTAAATAAGCTTGCTAAGAAAAAAAACTAGTAAATATTAATTCATTTAGGGACTACTCTTAATATACACAATTTATATGTGCATAATAATCCACCATCTTAGACACACAGTGCGCTGCGCGGGGCTGTGCATTTACCCTTAATTCGTAGCGCACGAAAACCTTAACAACGCTCATTAAAATAATACAGAAAAGCTCTAACAAATCTCATATACACGATGTCGACTTTCCTTATGCCTTATGGGCTGTGTTAGCTTTAATCCAGAATTCCCGAGGGGTATAGACTGGAAGATGCGCATGGTACTACAGCAAAATGTACAGCGGCCATCTTTTTTTCTATGTAAGAGTATCTAAAGCCCAAATAGGAATACCGAAATTGCTTTACAATAGCTCATATCGTTTGTGTTTCTTTGGAGAGTGTCATTCATCGCTTGAAAGTCTAAATTCCTTTTACATTTTCCCTTCTTTTCAGCTTATATGGTTACCGTGGAGATGAGTGGACATGTGAACGTTTACATGTGGGACGATGCATCGAAATTCACTCTTCAAATGGCAAGTAAAAGTACTCTTCCGAGTGACAACTATGCTCCTTTCAAGATAAATCCTTTACTGTTTTACATACATTTGCTTGTAATGGGCCTGAATTCCCAAAATAGAAGTAACACCGACTGTGTTTGGCTACTTTAAAAAGACATGGGACGTTTATTACTGAGGGCAGTTATAATGGACTTATAAAAGTTATTCTAGAGTTGCAAAGATCATCTCTGATCACTTCAACACAATTATAGTTACGAAAACTGTATACTGCGTCTGTCCTTTTACATCATGTCAATAAGAAAACCTATGAACTAAAATTTGTTCCCTCTTTCCTTTCAGAATACAACCGTTGAAAACGCCCAGGGTTCCATCCCCGTAGTTATCAATGATCCAGTGGCTGGTGAAATGGTTGTGTTTGCTGTGGCAGTGTCTGGGAATGGACTCTCACCCATTCTCCACCCGGTCAGCCTGTCAGCTGAAGCTGATTTCATCCCCAGGTGAGATTCATGATCTTGTACTTTGCATGTAAGATTTGAGGGTAGCGCTATTCACTTCAAGTAGAGTGTTATTCTTGCAGGAGAATACGATATTCTAATTTACTTTCTAAAGGAGTTACGCCACAGTTTGCGCATGTTGAAAAGTTTTATTGTTTAGCCTAAATTTTTCGAATTAATTTTGTTGTTTGTAATCCATTTTAATCCTTGTTCTTTTACGCTTTATTATTATTATTATTATTTATTATTATTATTATTATTATTATTATTATTATTATCATCATCATCATCTCTTTGGTGTTTTTTCCATATTAGTAAACTGCTATTGTCAGGTTTTCCCCAATTTAAAGGTTATTTTGTACTTAGCTCTTATTAACCGAGCAGGAGGTCTGTAAGGGAGAATCTTGACCGAGGTCGTGAGTACAGACCAAACGCAGTGAGGTCTGTACACACGACCAAGGTCAAGATTCTCCCATACAGACCGACTTAGCTCGGTTAATAAGATGTTTATTATATGACAAAAAGAACAATTTTTAAAAATCGTTTAATATAATTGGTTTGTACTAACTGACATTTTGCTTGCGAACGGCGATGAGCCGAACTAAATTCTGCTAAAGTTTGCTCGTCCTCGTTACTTTTTTTCTCATCAGGTCTTTTAGCACTTCCATAAGTAAATATTGTTAGACGAAAATAGTCAATATTTCTGCATTTTAGTTTGCAACTTTTTAACCGCAAAATGTAACCGGTCTAGATGGGAAAACATAGACCGCTTTCAATATCGATTTCAGCCAATCAAATTCGTGAATTCGGTAGTGCCCAGTCTTTGTGAGACACAGCCATATAATAAGGTGCCAAAATACCTTAACTGATCTCCTTTGATTCAACCATTTCTTTAAATCTTGTTTCTTAATGCTAGGCAAGGACAACTCATCTTTGAAAACGGGCAGAAAGAATTGGAACTAGATTTTACAATTCTTCCCGACACCACCCCTGAAAGGGATGAAGCCTTTACCGTACGCATTTACAACGCCTCGGGAAAAGCCGTTGTCAACAGTCAAAAACAAGACCTGACTATCAACATTCTGTCCAACGACGATGCACATGGCAGAATAGGCTTTGCGTCGAGCTCCCTAACGAAGGTAACCCCGGAAACAGCAGATGATTCTACAGTGACATTTGAGGTAATAAGGGAGTACGGAAGTCTTGGTCGTGTTGTGGCCCAGTGGAATGTGACTGGGAATTTCAGCGACGGAGATCTGAGTCCGTTGTCTGGAGAGCTTGTGTTTGAGAATGGGCAGACCAGTCAGAATATATCAATAACTGTTCACAAGGATATGGTGCCTGAGCTGCGTGAAGTTGCTTATGTCAGGTAAGATAGTTGACATGTATTAAGTACCTTGTTTTTGCAACGGTCCTTAGTTTAACTATTTTATTCTGTATACATACATACCTTATTCGTCCAAAAAGGGCTTTTCGGAATAAACATAGGAGGTATTAAAAAAATTGACTTAATCAAAAAATTATAGAGCGGTTTTCAATTGAGTGTCGTAAAACCAAGACCAAACCAATTACTTACCAATTAGACTACTCAGCCAATCTCAAACCGAAGTAAAACCAAAACCAAAACCAAAGTAATTGCCTGATTACGTTCGGCACTCAATGTACAACTCAATTAATTAATTAATAAGTAACTAATTAACAATTAATCAATTATTTATATGTAAATCGAACTAATGGGACAGAAATAGCAAAAGACAAGAACAATTAAGTCCCTTAAAATTTTGAAATTAAACTCCTTTTCAGGCAACATGCGAAGTCCGTTGGTGTCGGTTTTAACTTAAGACTATAGTCCAGTGAATTCCAGAGTTTAACTATTCTGAGCCTAGTCACCATGAGGATAGATAATAAAATGGTGATTATGGTTGTTTACCATGTACCCAAAAATTCCGGATATTTTTCGTTCAGAATGTAAATGGAGAGAGAATTTTCTCTTGACCGACCGGAAAGTTTTCGAAATAAACCGAACGTCTTTTGAAAAGTAGTCCAAAATTTCCAACCGAAATATCGGAGTGGAAATGTGCGTACCATATGCAATTACCTTGGAATTATTATCAGGTCAGAACTCGCCTTTGTCTCTTTTGATAAATTGGTTTTTTTTTTGGTAAGTGGTAAATGGCCAATCCGTACTGAACTTGCCATCAGGCATTTTTGGAACTGTTTTGATTAGCTTGACTTAAAATTCACAGAAATATGTGAAGAAAATTTCGGAAGTTTAATTGGATTATAGTAGATAGTAGGGAAAAGTGTTAAATTTAAGTAACACCCGCATTTACTGTACAGGTTGATATTTGTTTTTGCATGATTTTTAACCTCATTTTTGACTGGGAAAATGTGTTGAAAATGACAGAACATGCACGTTGCATCTGTATGTAATCGGGAATTTATGTGTTTAATTGATGTTTTTTTATTTCCACATTTACAGACTTCTACGCCTTACAGAAACTGGATCATCAGACGTGAATCGTGGTGCAGCTCTGAACACTGCACGTGTCACAGCCATGTTGATTGTCCCAGCTAACGACGACCAATATGGAGTGATCAGCTGGAAAAACACACTTATCATATCACAAGAAGATGGTCCCAAGAACACTACCTTATCTGTGTACATCATGCGGCAGTTTGGTGTCATAGGAGACATTGTGGTTTCTTATGAAACAGTTCAACTTTCGAGTGTCGCTCACGATGATGAACGTGTAGCCATGCCTGGAGTTGATTACGTAAGCGTGAGAAGTACTGTAGAAATCCCAGCCGGACAGAACTTGACGCAGATAACCTTGGATGTAACACATGTAAGTTTAGATCGGTTGGCGATTGTATGAATATTTAAAACCAGTTTTTATTGTTTGTGTGTTGAATCTAAGTGGTAGCTGGAACAATGTCCTGTAAGAATCCTATCGAAACCTTCTTACAATGTTGTTAACTCTGCCACTCACCGGCCCCTGATTGCAGGAAGGTGAATGCTTGCTCACCTTAGCTCTATATCGTTATGTCCAGTCTTTATAGAGTTGGGAATTCTTTGAAAATTGTTGCACATAGTCTCTCGTGTATAGTCAACGTGCTTGATACGGTCTTGTAATGCAGAAGTCCAGGCTGGCTTCAAACTTTTCATTCCGTCACTGGCTGGATTCGATCTTGGCAGTTCTGACCTAATTTAACTACTCAGCTACGCTATACAATGTAACTAACAGGCCTGCAAAGCCTGCATAAATTTCATTCTTATCCATAGTAAGTTTGATGTTTGTCTCCTGCCGAGTATTTGTTTCATAGGCCACAATAAAAAATTGGTAGGACAGCAGTTACTGAAATGTTATTAAGGCGTTTTCTTTTCGTGATTAAATTGTGTTTTATTTTATCTTTCAGTTCAACAGCACAGTTATAAAGAAAATCTTCCAAGTGAATCTCACAGCTGTGACACTCAAGCAAGGTGACGAGGTCGATAACTCTCCTCGCATCGACCCAAATTCTCGTTTACTGGAAGTCGTGATTGCACAACCAAACCAAACTGTAGGTGAACTTAACTTTGATGTCAGTGCTTTGCTAGACCCGGCAACCCAAACCATCCAGTTAGACGAGGATGTAGGAATGCTAAACATTACAGTCCAGCGAACAGGTAGCAGCTTGTCAGGAGAGGTCGGCTTCCGATATATTGCTCGACCTCTGAGGTCAAGCGTATATTCTGCAACAGACCGTGCAGATTTTTCTCCAAGTGAAGGAAAAGTCGAGTTTGCCTCGGGGGAGAGCCGTGTCACTTTCAAAATCAACATAACTGATGATGATGTACCTGAAATTGAAGAAGGTTTCTACGTTCAAATGAGTCGTCCCTTGGGAGGTGTTCGGATTGGTCCAGAGAGCAAGGTCGATGTGATTATCAAACCCAACGATGAACCTTACGGACGGTTTGGGTATGTAATATAGTTTGTGAATTATAAAAGACTAATATTAGATTTACGTTTTGAGTGGTACTCAATAGTTGTTATATTCCATGTACAATGGGTCTGTGTGTTTTGGAAAGTTCACTGTATTTCAGTTGAAGGTTTCAAGCTAGTAGTTATTACGTCATGAAACCAGGCTGGTGAGGCTGGCAGCGAGATTTAGTGCTAAAAGATAACTAAGTTTATGTTTGATAGAAAACCGTGATACCTGAAAACTGTTATTTGATTTAAAAAATCAAGAAGTCCACGTAAAATATTCTGAAAAACGTAGAGTGATCTTCTATCTGACCTCACAGCTTAGTCCTTAGACTGAGAAAATCTTTGATTTAAATCCCGTCATTTTTCTGTACCTTTAGGTCTCGTTTCGTATATTAAAGGATCATTTAAAGAAATTTACATAGTTTACGTGTATCGTACTGAACAATCAGCTGGAGTGAAAGTCTGTACATTTTAATTTTTTCTCTCGATAGCTTTACAAAGGAAATATCTGAGGACATCAAAACTGTTCAAGAAGGAGCTACTTTACAACTTGAAGTGAAGAGAGAGCGGGGCGCCTTTAGAGATGTGCACGTGACCTGGAGGCTGACATGGAGTTCAGGCATTGTCAATGCCAGCTCTCAAATCTCGCCAATGAATGGCTCACTCATGTTTAAACAGGTCTGTAACTGCGAGTTGGTTAGAATGTGGAATTGTTTCACCTATGAAACAGTGCCTTGCCTTAGCTAAAATCCTGTCATAACAGGAAAGGCTCCCAAGCGTTCTTTACAAAAGAGTTTAATGGCGGCCTTTTCCCATTCTGTCATCCAGCCTTACCTTAACATTTCAAATGTTTAACACTAACAGGTGGATGGGAGGGGCGGGGTGGGGAGTACTAATTTTATTTGCAGAAGTCGTCCTCGGTCCTACTTCACCATAGTTCCCGACTCTCACTGAGTTTCCCCTGGAAGTTTGTCCAGAATTTTCTTCTCTGAGAATCTTATGAGACTACAGCTCTCTTCAAGAATTTCTGTTAGTTATGTCCTAACGAGAACCATTCGACGTGACTTCAGAATTCTCGTGCTATTTTCTGATTGATCAAAATAATTGCAAACTCTACGAGTATCTAAACGAATATTTGCCGAAAACAGCACTTCTCCTATCGCCTTCTGACAGTGTCACTCAAGCTAGTGATAATTAGGAATTTTTGTTCGTGTCCACAGGGAGTCACTTCTCAGTTTATCACGCTGCACGCACTCGATGACGCAGTGGCAGAAGAGGGTCAAACGTTTACTTGTCAGCTTGTCAGTGCCGACAATGGCGGGGTACTCGACCCAGCGCTTGACGAAGCTAGAGTTTACATCCCACCCAATGACAAAGTGGAAGGAGTTGTGTCAATTGACCCGTCTACAAGAGCTATAGTAGCAGGAGAACCAGTACAGGGGCATGATGGAGTGTTTGTCATAAGGTAAGTACTCCGGAGAAATTAATCACGAATGAAGAATAGCTCACAAATGAGATGCTTTAACATCAAGGGAAGGACAAACAAAAGTTACTGAAGCAAAATATTGGACTTAACTGTGTTATCCTAACGCCTTCTTGCAGAAGGATAAAACGCCATAAGTTAATATACGAAGGAATTTTGGCTGTATGCTTTATGTCTTACCTGGTGGAGCCTGGTTGCTTAACGTTCCTCTCCAGAGAGAAGGGAGAGAGCGAAACTTTACATTGATATACGTTAAAATGTAGCAGTTGTTGTTATGCTTTGTTTCGATTGTTTGCCGTTACTTAAAGGCAACACCCCATAGTTAATAATTTTCTGTTGCTCATCACCTATCTGCTCGACAATAAATATGCTAAGGAGAAATAATTCTTCGATCACTCTACAATCGGATGAAGTTGTCGTCACATTTACACTGTTTAGAGGTTTTCCATGGCGTTACTACAAAACTTAAAGTTCTTTTTCAGATTATTTCACTTTTACAACCCGTTCTTGAAAGAGAAAAATGTTGTAAGTGTTTTAACGTAGAGACTTCATTCCCCTTCTCTTGTTTGCCTTTTGGTTTTGCTTTTTGCGTCAACTTTCCATGGACGTTATTGATATCACCTTGTGGCGTGTACAGTTAAGAGTAATATTTTTGATATTTTTTTCAGGTTACTCCGCCGGATAGGTCAGTCTGGCGACGCGCAGATCACGTGGTCAATCACTGTAGGGTCACCCGGTAATGCACCAAGCCCCAGTAGCACTTTCAACGTTAGTTCCGGTTCAGTGACTATGCCAGATAGCGTGGAGACAGTAATGCTTCCTATTATGGTGAGCCAAATATAGAAAAGCAGTTGAACCCGTGTTAGGGGGTAACTTTTGAGGAACAAGTACATCTAGTACGCTATAGGGCGACTGGTTTACATTCATCTCAAGGGTCTTTAGCGCAGAATATCGTACACGGAACTTTCAAAATGTTTCCGTGTGTAAAGAATTTTAGCTGAATACAGTTACAGCCTGTATGCCTGCTTTTAAAGATCAATTCGCGTCTAGTGCTGGGGGATCGGCTCCAAATATTGTAAGAAAATTTACTGACAGAGTTCAGGGTTGGAATTGAAAGCGAGGGCTGTTATAGTAAGAAGTTATGCTTCCCTGTTGCTGATAATATCACAGCGGTCCGCCATATTTGCATTCGGTGTATTTTGGTGTGAGATTTCATCGTCAGCTTTGTTATTAAAAGACTCGCCATAGCGCTGTAACGCCCCAGTGAAGGACGTACACCGGCACCCAAAACATACCGAAACGTGGTAAGCCAATCAAAAAACTGCATAACCTATCCACTTTAATTTACTAAAAGTTGCAGTCATGAATAGATATCCCGGATGAAAGCACGTGGCTACAAGATAATTCAGTGTCTTATACAACCTCCTGTTCTTTTGCTTTTGTTAGGTGAAAGACGATTCAACAGCTGAAGAGCTGGCTGTGTATTCTTTCTCTTTGCTTGGAGCCAGTGATACTGTCCTTGATCCTTCGCAGAGCGCACGCCAAGCGCAAATCACTGTAGTGGCTAGTGATGATCCATATGGAATTATCGAGTTTCAGTCGGCATCAAGTCTTAATGTCAGTGAAGATGTTGGGTTTGTGAATCTCACAGTTCTAAGGAATGGCGGAAGCATTGGTGATCTGTTGGTTAATTATAGCGTCTCGTCCACCACTGCCACAAAGGGTGTCGACTACGAGTCGTTTGGAAGCGGTATGGTTCGAAGTTTTGTTGTTTTCGTACGTCTTTTACTCACAGTGCGTTGGAATTTGACGGGCCATAACTTAACGTACGTCGGTTCACCCCAAATCGTCCCCGAGACGCTGAACGTCTTATTGTATCCTCTTGGCGCCTTGCTAACGTAGAATATATAAGCAGTGGAAGTCTTTAGTTGTGCTATGAGAATGTTTCTCAAGAGAACACGTTTATCAGTCATTTATCATGTTATTTTTCCTTCAACTTGGATGATGCTTAGCTTTTGTCGTTAGAGGCATTTCATTCGTATGCAAATTTATACACTCCTATGCAGGTTCTATACTTCCTAGAGAGTAGTACGCTCGGACCCTTTCTACCATTTTTGCAAGTCTCCGGTTTTTGTCTAAACCTTTTGTTTCTCTCAGTTCTTAATTTCGCCGATAAAGAGGATCAAAAGACTATTCCCGTTCTCATAAAGAAAGACGACACCCCTGAACTCTCCGAGACCATCGCAGTTGAACTGCTCGCTGTGCAACTTGTTTCTGGTTCGCCCAAAAACTACAGCGTTATAGATGGCTTGCCACTAAATACTCCACCCAGGATCAGTTCAGATAAAAACAAGGTCATGATTGAAATTGAGGAAAATGACGACGCTCGTGGGATTGTACGTTTTACGGAGAGCTCCAAACTTGTGCGAGAGGAGAGTAGGGTTGCTGTTCTGCAACTCGTTAGAGAAGGTAAGCTGGGTTAGGTGTATTCTTGTGTGATACCATCTAGTAAGCAACAAAACCAAATAAATCATTATTTTGCTTAGCGTCTTGACGTTCACTCATTTTGCATAAGAGAATGCTCAGCTTCTTTTTTCCGGAAAAAAAGCAATCTGATGTACACCATTCAAGTAATTTGTCAAAAATGCTTAGGGAATGAAGTTTTCCAGCACTTGTGAGCAAGGCTGTAGCAAGCTGTCCAATCAAACAGCAAGTAATATATATTCTATGGTCCATTTTCTGTAGTTGTCGTTGAAAAATGTCTCTTTTACATTTCAATAGGGGGTAGCCTCGGAGTTGTTGACGTCGTATTTTCAGTTCAGAATGGAACCGCCATCCTTGGTGAGGATTTTAGAGAGTCCAGAGGCACCGTTCAATTCACCAGTGGTCAAACTACTTCATTTATAAACATTACGATCCTTGACGACAATGTTCCAGAACAGCGTGACTACTTCACAGTCAGTCTAGATTCCGTGACAGGTGGTGCTAAGCTAGCGTCGCCTAAAACCGTGACTGTCACCATAGAAACGAGTGACGATCCCGGCGGATTGTTTGGATTTGTGAACAGGTCTCAGCTGACAATCGTTAATCCTAGCTTATCTGCTGATCTGAGCTTTGTTATTCAACGAGAAGGTGGGGCTGAAGGGGAAGTGGAGGTGAGTGGAATTTAATGCAAACTCAAAATGCCATCCTTGTTCCTTTATAGTTTAATATTATCTCTTTAGTGTTTTCCTATCTTAGTGAACTGCTATTTTTGGGCCGTTTCGTTTAACATAGAGGTAATTCTCTACGTGGCTAAAAGAACTCAAAATAGCGTGACTGAGCCCCTTTAAGATTATTCCCCAGTATTGCATTGCGCATCCCTACTGCGCATAATTTCACGCGTGATTAGCGCGCGGGCATTAAAAAATGGGGCCCTTTCTTTACAGCTGGACCTCGCCATAGAGGTAAATCTTCATTTTCTCGCAAACGAGTATGGTGACATATCATTTTTTTCAGTTGTTTTGAATTGAGTAATAAATTTCTCTGTGTAAAACAAATATGGACCAATTCTCAGTGTAGAACAAAAAGCAATCGTCGGAAACGTGAGTTTAGCAAGCAATCGTGACTACAGTCATGGTGCTATTATAAGGATTTATATGGGTGTAAACAAGGTGCTGTTGCTCCTAAACGAACATGGGGACCCCTCATTTTTATTTCAAAATTTAAGTCCCTATAATGTAAACAATCGATAGGCAAAGTTTCACAAAAATCTCAGTGCGGGTTCTATTTCAGTGGAATGACCTTAAGTATCTTGTGATATGGCTTTATTGCAAAAGACAGCGCGGGTATTACTTTTAGATGATAGTTTTCCTGTTCAGAAATGTTGTGTTCGATAGCCATCTTGTGGGGGATATGACGCTTTAAAAGAGGCAGAGGGCGAGAGAGGGACATAATACAAAATTGTTGGATATGATATTTGATTCTTCTGATTGTGTCGCTCTTTAGGTGAGCTGGAAGGTAGTTCGAATCCACCCTCCGTGTGATTCTTGTACATTACCTGATGACTTCGAAGGGGCCACTGATGGATCAAGTGTATTTCCTAATGGCGACGTAGGAGCAAAGAGGACTGTAAGACTTCGCGTTAGACCTTTCTTGGGTAAGTATACAGCGCTTACGTTTTTAGTCTCCACTTATTATTTAGAAATGCATACTTAGTCCTTTTAGCTATTCTTGGTCCGATTTGGCCACGAGTCTATATCAGAATTGTTGCTGAGATAACTAGACGCTCTAAGAGCGTTTACTCGGGCTTCGTACCGCAACATCAAATCGTACTTTACAAATAAGCTTATTGAACACATTGAAAACAAATAAAAGAATAAGGATATTTTTAACACAAGAGGTCGCTTAGATATTTACCTGATTCAAGTTGCTTCGTTGAGTGTCCTCTTTAATCCTCTTTATCCAACTGCATGTTGTTTGCCTCACCTTCGAAGTTCTGTTTACGACATTTCTTCATTTTTTTCTTCAATTTCACAGGCTTTGACGAACCCGAGGAACGATTCGTTTTAACAATTTACAAAGTTTCTGGTAACGGTTCGATCGACGGTCTTCGATCCAATATCACCATCACCATCGCTAAACATGGCCATCCTAACGGAGTGTTCAGGTTTCAGAATACAGCAACTAGAACGTTTGATGAACCTGCAAGTGGAGTAGAACAACAAGCGTTCACGGTGGAGAGGAAGAATGGTACCCAGGGAACAGTCAATGTGAGTATTACACATGAAGCTTATTCTTTGTAAGACCCGGATACGCAGACATGATCTATTAGTAGTGTGTAGTAAGCATTGTTTTAGCTGTTTTATCGGTTTTGAATGTACCCACTTGTATTTTACCTAGAATTTTAGTTATTTTAGGGGTCCCTATTAGCAGGGAGATTCCTGTGGTGAAACAGGAATTTGCGGTCGCTTTGACAATGGCAGCACGTCTGGTGGGAAATAACGTTAACTGGAAGCTGAATCGGACGCTGTACCTTTTTGGCGGGAGATAGACTTCAAGTTATGGTGAAAGCTGTAATCTAGACTTAGTACTCAGGACGTAACCTCAACCACCTGTGTTATCTTTTCGATAAACTCCTTTTTCGTTCTCCCCATCCACCGTCCAATTCCATTAAGACATATGTTAAGTATTCAAACGTTCTACGTACAAGGAACGTGAGAACTTGAATCTTAAACGGAAGCTTATTCCTATATGAGCAAGGCCGCTCATGATGTCATGCGACATCATTCTTGGTGCAGTAATTAGGCAATTTCTCTTTTGTGCAAAGCAAGATCTTTAATTAAACTGCTTCTTTACACAGGTCAAATGGGAAATAACTGATGTAACAGGTTCTTCTGGGTCACGTGGACTACAGAGCACATCCGGCACAGTGACTTTCGATCCTGGTGAATTTCTGAAAAACATTTTGGTGGAAATCAAAGCAGATGATGTTCCTGAATTAGAAGCTGTTTACATGCTGAGAATCGTGTCTGTGGATGGAGGAGCAGATTTAGATCCTTCTGCTACTAATGTCACTTTTAAAATAAGGTAAGTGGTTAGTTTCCTTGTTCCGAGGACAAAAACGTCACCCTTCGACGCAAAATGCAACGTGGAGAAAAAAATGCAGTAATACCTGAGCTTGTAAGTAAAGCATCTTAAGTCCAACAGGCTCGTAGCGCTCGGCGCTCAACTCCGGTTTCTATAGCGTGAAGTGGCTGGGAGTATCGCCATCTCCCCTGGATGGGATGCTAGTCAATCGTAGGTTACTTCCCATTGTTCTCTCTTATTGCCCCAACATTTCGCAATAGTGCAGTTACACTTAAGCCTGAACTGAGTTTAATACTGCAGCAGACCGCCTAAAGGGAGACTGTTGTCTACAGGAGCGTACAACGGTTGTTGGTGCTAGCTTGGTTATATCCCAGTAGGTGGGGCGTAACTCTCTGTTGTCGCTCCACTGAAGGCCTAATCAATGTTTGAAAGGGCTTGCCTTTAGTTCACGAATTTCGTCCGTTGTTTGCTATGTCAAAAGTGAAATGAATGTTTAGTTTAATTCATCCTGTTGTACAATGGTAGGACAAATGACGATCCTCATGGCGTTTTCAAGCTTCAACAAGGTTCACAAAAACTTCAAGTCTCTGGAAACAGCCGTCTACTGCAGTTTACGGTGATGCGAGAGAAAGGAACGTTCGGCGCAGTTGACGTACAGTATGAGGTGCGCCACTCAGAGTGGTACCCCACAGAAATGAAAGGAACTGTTACAGTACCTGATAAACAGAGCCAGGTAACGAAACACTTGTTTCACGTAACTGTCCAGGTTCTAACTTGTGGACCATTCTAGTGAAGTTTTAAAGCAGTACTTGCTTTGCATGCTGTTAATTATGCTGTATAAAAGGGTTCTGGCTTTGAAGTCTGTGGACGAAACCCTAGCGTGCGTTGATGGTGAATAAGGTGGTTCTAATTTGGAAGTCCGTGGATGAAATTTTAGGGTGACCATTTTTTTGCAAGCTAATGAGCAGAACGCTTGTCTTTATGATGTTAAACAAAAGGATAGCTACAGTCAAATTGTGGTTATTGTTTCTGTCTTGAACTAGCACTCCTAATAAAAGAAAAAGGTGAAAAGTAGAGGAAGAAATCAAAAAAAGTTCCTTCATGGGTGTAAGTTTACTCTTTTTACCCTTAGGCCTCGGAGAGTATCGCTTTGACAGCTTTCCTTCAACTGGGCTCCACATTTACCATTACACTGACTGGAGTTCGTTACAGCAATAATCAAGGTAAGTTTCCATTTTATACGAGCGATACTCTGCAAGGACACTCGCTCTATTCTTATGAACGAGTGAGGAAATTGATTGACACCAAGAACCATTACACCGTAGCACACGTGGCAATTTGTATGTTACAAAAATATATTTAAGAAATAGAGTTAATCTTTTTTGTTTCGGAGACAATATCGTTATGAAGCAAACTTTGTCATTGTAAGGAGGTGGATATTTGTGCAAAGATGTTGTATCGAGCGACGGGGGAGGGGGTTGAATTACAGGAACTGTAATTAACTTTGTGATTTTCCTATTTAGTTCCAGCTACCTCTATCCCTCCTAAGCTGTCCAGTAGCTCTCCAAGTGACACTTCTCAGACCACTGTTGTACCAGAGGACGCAGCTAATGCTTTGTTCAAGTTTGCTGACAACTCTTTGAGACTGACAGTGGATGCTGGTATGTAAACAAGGACAGCACGTTTTTCTTTACCACATGGTGTTGAGTAGACTGCGAGCAGTTCGTTTTTCTCTTTAGTTTTTCAGCATGAAATAATAGACAAGAAGAAATGGCCTTGCGAGAAAGAAATACCTTATTACATGAAATTTTCGCGACACGTTAATTTCGCGAATTTCGCGATTTAAAAAAATCGCGAAATTTAAGTGACGCGAAAATTAAATGTCGCGAAATTAACATGATGCGAAAATTAAGTGACTCACATTACGTCAATAATTAAAAAAGCGACTTTATTACCGTTACACACGTTTATAACAATCATTTTGAACTATTCTGTGGTAATGTTCTGTTCCTCTTCATCACTACTGCTTTCCGTCTCCACTCCAGGTAGCACTTCTTTTGTACAATCCTCAAACTGTCCATTTACTGGCTCCTTGTAGTGCTGTTCCACTAGTTGCTTAAACCTTTCAATTGCCTTATAGACACCGTGAGAACATCTTTCTTGTTACTGTTTACATAATCAGTTGCGTTTCTGTTTATTTGGACGTTGTTAATTAAGTTGTTTGATCAAATTCAGGGACATCTTAAATAACATTGACAAAGAAATATAGTGTGTCTCACTCAAAAACGCGAAATTAAAGTGAGTCAAAATGCAAAATTTTCGCAAAATCGCGAAATTAAGGTGTCGCGAAATATGCGAACCTCCAAATCGCGAAATTAACGTGTCGCGAAAATTTCATGTAGTAAGGTACAAAGAAAAAGTGGCTTCGCGAGAAAGAAATGAAAAGAAGAAATTCTAGTTTTATCAAGGCCATTTCTACTCTCAGTTGTATCTCGCTCTGTGAAGTACAGGAAAAGAGGAGCCTATGCTTTGTTTACGTAAGGGTGGTTTCTTGGTGAAAATCAGGACTGGCGGAATGAGTTGTGAAGTAAGTCTCCTGTTTCATAAACTATATTAATCAAATACTTCTTTGTTTGTTCATAGACAACTCTGTTTCGTCCATTACCGTGGTTCGTGAAGGTTTATTTGGTAGTGCCACAGTGGACATCAGGTCAGGTTTTCCAACAGGCACCTTTGATGGATTTACCGCGGGGAAAATACTCCCAGATTCTAACTTGGTGTCATTTACTGGATCGACAAAAAACAGGTCCATTTCTGTTCAGGTGAGTGTCCACGAAGGAAAGTCAGGTTCGTAATGGACTCACGTTGATTTTGAATCAAGAAAGAAAGAAAGAAAAGAGGGTGTACATTTGTCAACTTCCAAGTTACGCATGACAGTAACCATTGGCAATGGTATCAGTGGATTAGCTTGTAAAAAATTGGTGCGCTGCGGCGAGAAGTGAAAACATAACTTGGATGTGAACAGGAATGTCATCTGCCCGCTAAGATTAATACAGCTGAGATTAAGACTGTTTTCCCTTTGTCATTACGACTCATAGCAGCTTGATTTGCTGCAAAACTTTCAAATGTCTTGATACACTGGGCTTTGTTGAATGACAGGTTTTGATATGAGTTAAACACTTCAACACTTGTTAATGTTAACGAATTTTTCTTTTTAGGTAAACCCAGTACTTGTTCCTAACAAAAAGCTAGTTTACTCTGTGTACTTGGCGTCTGCGCACACGACGAATGACCTCCCTGGTGGTGCAAATGTCACGACCGAAGCCAGTCGAACAGCAGTTATTGAGTACAGCGGTGTTGTTGTGGTTGCTCCAGACACTCAACAGCTACAAGCTGTTGAAGATGGAAAGGTAATAGTTTTGAGGACATGTTTGAAGTCACAATTGAAATCTTCAGTGCTAACCTGGCTTTTTGTTGCGCTTACTCGTTTAGCAAGTGCATCACAGCTGAGCAATAACGCTAGCTTTACTGTAGTCTCCTCGTTCAAACTAATTCTTATGGAAAACAGGTTGAAATTATCGTTTTGAAATTAGATTATGAGCTCAAGACTTCTATCGCGTGATAGTTGACGAGGGCTGCGCCCTCGTCAACTATCGCGCATAGAAATCAAGAGCGAGTAATCTAATTGTTTTAGTATAACTCTACTAGTCATTCAAAACCCTATATAAATCCTCTTCACAGACACTTTGAAAACGCAAAGAAGCGGCCGTCATTTTGTCAACAACTGCACACTCCTAGGCTACTCACTATCTACAACAGAATAGATAGTGAGTAGCGTAGCTAATCAGAGAACAGCATTCATGCTAGAACGCTATTAGATTAATTTTATGCTTAAAATAGATATTAGTCGTGGGTAATCATTTTAATGTATTGCCGACATCATGTTGACGTCATGACAGTTACAGATTCACTTGGTTTGTTGTGGTTAGCACAGGCACTCACACGAATGCAAAAGCTGAGAGGTAACAAAATTTTAGTTTGCTTGCTGTGACGTCATGTGTTAACGTATGAGAACGCTTAGTCTTGACTTCAATTGTCGTCAGTTTGGGAGATAAAACAAGGCAACTAATAACTTAGAGCTTATGACCAACTCAGCTAATCGGTGCCTTATTTCAATTCTTCCAGGTTAAATGCAAGATCTTGCGTCAGTTCAGCGTGTTGGGCTCTGTTACAGTACAGTACATCTTCAGTGGCTCACAGGGAACTGTCAGCATGGCAGCAGGAGAGTTCAGTAAAGAGTTTGATGTTGATGTGAAAAATAGCAACTCTGATCCGGAAAAAGATCGCGTGCTCTTCTTAAACTTAACCTCCGTCACTGGAAGTAAGAATCCTTTGTTTGTTAAAGTTGTAACTTGCTCGTTTTACTTTGAAACTCAAGCATTTCTCTCTCGTATTACTTTTGGCCAGAACATTTTTACATTGGCTCGAATAATGCAAGTACGAACTTAATTGAGTCAGTCAGAAGTCTGGCACGCACATTTATTGAGAATAGATGTTTACATTTCTCGGCAAAGTTTCAAAAGAACTATTACAATTAAAACGCCAGTGGGCTAGCTTGGTCGGCTCCTTTCAAGGGAAATGGAACATCAGTAAGTTTATGGAGTTCGCCTACGGCTTGGTCTTTGAAAGTACAAAAACAGAACTCGATCACTACAGACCTCGTGCTAGTTGAGTAACATCTGTTTGTTGACAAGGTGATGCTAATTTGCGAATAACTGTAGTTATACCGTGCTCTTAATAACCACTGTTTCAGGTGGCTCTCCGCGACTGGGCGTGAACAGAACTGCGCGTATAACAATCAGAGACAACGACGATCCTCAGGGTGTCTTTAGTTTTCGCACCACTCGTATAACGGTCCCGGAAAACGCCACAAGCGGGAATTCACGCATGGTGGAGCTGGAAGTTCAGCGTACCAAGGGGACATTTGGCGATGTGTCAGTTCTTGTAAGGACTGTTGGGGGTGGAGAGCGTTGGAATCCGACCCTGCCGTCTTTGAAAAACGCCATTGCAGCGAAGAAAGGAGAAAAGAACGCGACGATTGGTACTGATTATGTTGAACTCTCAACGAGAGTGACCTTCCCGGTAAGATTTGCTTTCCATGTCGCTTTTTCATACATGTAGGTGTGTTGTGCAAGGTCAGAAACATGGAAATAACGGAAAAGCATAATTCAAATAACTATGCAATTGTCTATGACAGTCTCTGGCTATTTTCGCTCTTTGTTGTCTCATGAAGACTGCAAAGCACGGCTGCGCACTTCTGTGTATCATTGTCTACTTTCTTTTCCTTCTCTCCCTGTAACCCTATGGCCAGGTGTAATATCAGACCTTTCGCCTGTGCGTGTTTGTTTGTTCCAGTCCTTCTTCTTTACATCTGTTTTATGTGATTCTACTGTTGCTGCTATGGCCAATTTTCATATGAGACCTTTCGCCTGTGCGTGTTTGTTTGTTCCAGTCCTTCTTCTTTACATCTGTTTTATGTGATTCTACTGTTGCTACTATGGCCAGTTTTCATACGAGACTTTTCACCTGTGCGTGTTCGTTTGTTCCAGTCTCGTTTGCATCTGTTTTATGTGATTCTGTTGTTGTTTTTAAAGGCTCAAGACCCTATACCATCAGATGGACAAGTGAAAAAGGTTCAGCTTGAGATCAAGGATGATGACCTGCCTGAACCTGATGAACAGGTTTTAGTTTACTTGACAGATGCCATGGGCGGCGCCAGAGTGGCCACTGATTCTGATAGCGGACTCCAGGTGAGCCATACATACCGCTAGTTATCGTTTTAAAGGAACGATAGACTTACAAGGTTACTATAAGTTCGAAGGAAACCCTCAAATGATGAAGGTAGTTTACTAATTAACAATTAGATTATGAGCTCGAGATTTCTATCACGTACTAGTTGACGATGGCGTAGCCCAAGTCAACCATCACGCATAGAAACCGAGAGCGAATAATCTAATTGTTTTAGTGTAAATCTACTTGACTAAAGTCATTCGAAACTCGATTAGATCTCCTCAACAAAACGGATAGTAGTAGCGTACCTAACAAGAGAACTGCATTCGTGATAAACGCTAGTAGATTTATAACAAGGAGACAACAAAAATATCGAATGTAACCTTGTTCGAAACTTTGGCCGCTTGATTGAAAATAGACATTCTTACATTATCTGATTTTTTTTTCAGTCTTGGGCAACCATCACCATCCAAGGCAATGATTTGATGAGCGGAGAAATTGGATTTGTCCCTGGATCACAGACTGCAACAGTTGACGAAGATTCAGTCTCCCCGACAGCTGTACTCAAAGTTCAAAGAACGAAAGCTACATTTGGTGAAGTACAGGTATGTGAAAGTGAAGAATGATCAGGTATGTAGTATCAAACACGAGACACAGTGTCTGACCACATTTCCAAACATTGAGAAGAGAGTTTAAATTCGAGATGTTTGGAAATGTGGTCAAACACGGTCTTGAATGTTGGATATATCTTCTCAATCGAAACTAAAACTAACGGGAAAACGGAGAAATAAAAACGTTAAAATCTATGCAAATTATGACCAGATATCCATGACGAAAGGAGTAAGGCATAGCTCAGCCTGTAAGCTGGTATTCGATTTTGATGCTTGTCTTTGAAGATCACACCGGCCAAGTTAAAATTTCGTCATGTATGGTTTCGTCTCGTCTTCCTGTTTCCTGTCATTCCTTTTTTGTAGTATTTTTATTCTTGTCGTGTTTTTTTTTTGCTGTCCACATTTTGCTGTTACATTGCAGCAATCTTCGATGTGCAAATGCATTCGAGGACGAAGACAGCAAGGCTTGGAAAAACGTATTTTAACGCACTTCTGAATTTCATGTACAGGTGTCATGGAATGTCCGTGAAAGCGAGTTCCATAGCGAAGTTGTAGAATCTGAAGGAAGAATCACGTTTGCCAATGGAGTACAGCAACAAGATCTTGTCATTCGTTTGAAAAATGATGTGGTAAGTACATTGTAACTGCTCTCCATTCAACTTTCAGTACATCAACCAATTGACCTAGGAGGTTACGGTATTTCTGAAATATTCACTGTTTATAAATCGCGTCGTTTGAAGGATTTGGTTTTCAGGTTTGTGGACTGTAGATGCGTTGTCCAGACAGTATGCATTCTCGCTGTAGGTTTCGAGACAGAAGCTTGTTCAGTCTATAGAACCCTATCAATTGGAAAAAAATGAAATTCATAAGTAAGAGACGGTCATCCTGCGAATAACTGAAGCGCATGCAATAGACCGCAATAGAGATTCGATTAGGAGCTGTACATCATCACAGTAAATGGTGTACTAGGGGCCAATGCGTAGTTACTTGTTAAGGCTGTTTGTATAAACATTTCTTTCTACAATTGAAATAGCACTGGCGAAGGAGTGTGAATTTTAGATTCCTTTTCAAACGAGTATCTTTTTTTTTTTTAGAAACCCGAACGAGCCGCTCAGTTTCATGTGGATTTGACCGGAGTTGTTAGCGGTAACCAAGCACTAATCAATTCTCAGTTCCGGTCGGCTCTGATCAAAGTTGTGGAAAGCGACTTCCCCAATGGAACCATCTCCTTTCCCAAAGATGTCGTGTAAGTTGTCTATAAGGTTGAACTTCTGATCAATGGAATGCGCAATTTGATAACAATGTTCCTAGTTGTCGCTTTATCGGAGAACCGTCCGATTGGAACAAACTTTCGACGAAAAATTCTGATATGAATTCCGTAAATTGTCAGTGACGAATGACAACATTTTCCGGAATTTCAGGAAAATGGGACAACCTTGCGAGGTGTACCAAAATTTTCGGAGATTTCTTACCGGGAAGTGCCGTTCCATTTGACTTTCCTACCGGAATTTCAAGAATTCTCGATTGAATGGTTCGTTTTGCGGAGATTCAACAATTTGTCGCCGTTTCAAAATTTTCGGAATTTATGGTTGAATGAAAAGCACCTTTAAGTACCCATTCTAATATTTGTTGTTTATTCTCTAGTTACACAACTGTGGACAAGACGTCTACCGAAGTTCAACTTAAGGTCGCTAGGGACTATGGGAAAGACACTGACGTCACAGTTAACTTTGAGACACGTGATCTAGCTGAGCAGTTTACCTCAAAACCAGGCGTGCAAACCTCACAGGCATTTGCTGGAGAAGACTACGAAACACCAACTACTACTTCTATTACCTTTGCTAAAGGAGAAGTAAGTTTGTTTAAGATTTGGGAGGCTTATCTTTGAGTGAAGAGGTTTTATTGTATTTTAGAAGTTGGTATTATACATGGACGATATAAATGATCTAATGTTTTGGTTTTCTTTTAGACTTCGCAGACCATCACCATCACTTTAACTCCCAGAGAGGCATCTATTACAAAGTATCCAAAAGCGTTTGAGGTCGTTTTACTCAGCGCTACTGGAGGAGCAAAGTGAGTTTTGCTTCTTAGTCTTGAGTTGTTTTTGTTTTTTTGTTTTTTTTTGGTAACCTGACTTTTTTATACGATTTAGTGGCATACTACGTGTTGCGAGCCACTGTTAAACATGTGTTTGTGTTATGACTAGTGGTGAAAGATAGTCTAGCTACAGAAGATCAACATAGTTTAATACTATTTGGGACACTTCACGATAAACGCACTTGTGTTTGCTGGTGATCAAGCAAACTTTTAAGTTTACAGTTCTCTGGACTGACTTTTTGTGCTGCTATGGACAAAAATAGCCCATTCCCCACAAGGAGTTGCTTAATTTGAATCGTTCGTATGAGGCAGTAATAAATGTGCTCTTTACTCATTTACCTTCTCATTCGCCATCATACCTCATATCTGAACATATAACTATTTAGTGATTAAACTTACTAATTCTCATATTTGAGTTCGTTGAAAGCATCAGTCAAAATAAAATGCTCATTAAAGGGTTACTTTTGTCTGACTGTCATATGTCCAAATCTTTATGCTGTCTGTTACTTACTTTTACAGGATCATTCAGGAATTCAACACTTCATTGGTTACAATTTCAGACGACAAAGAAACAACAACTTTCCTCAGATTGCGAGCTTTGGCTTTCCAAACGCCGCTAACTGATGATCAGATTAACAGGTGAGACGCTGCCTTAATTGGCTTGACGTGCTTTTGCTGCTGTAGACATGCACAACCTTATTCTCCGGTGTCTAGGCGGTAGAATGAAGACAGACCCAGGGAACGAGATTGAGACATGGTCTGCTCTGAGGAACAAACGGTTTCCTGAGAGCAAATACATGTATGCTGGAAAAACGTTTTCTCATTTCGTCTTTGCTATTATAGGCCGGAAACATTTATGTTGAATTATATTTCCGTACGTTAAAAAAGTACTTCAAAGTGCTTCTTGACTGTTTGACAAATTGTCCCTTGTCTGTCGAAGATATAGTTACAGTGTGAGACTTGCCCAGTTAGTGAGAGGTGTCCCCCCTAACTGTACATAAGTGCCTGTCAGAGGTTGTACTGCTGACTCTAGCAGTAACGATATGGTTTGTTTTGTTATTGCAGTATTCTCTCCGATCTGTTAACTAACGTTAAGAACCCGTTGGATGAAGATCGATTGAAACTAACAATGGACACGATCGATATTATTTTAAATGACAAGAAGACCCGCCCAATTCTGGGAGAGAGAATGTAAGTGTAGCAGATTGAGCAGATGATGGAGTGGGTTCTAGTTAAAACACGGTTTATCAACTGCGCTTTAGCAACGGCGTTGTAACCTTGCCTTAAAGTACCTATGAAGTGAATTTTTTTTTGCTTTCATCTGTCGTTTGTTATGTCTACTTCTCGAAACTGCCTAAAGCGAATAATGTTAGAAAGAGAAAAATCCGACCTTTTGCCGCCCAAAGGGAGCTCAGTATAGCAAAACGGTGGGTCCGGAGACTGGCAAAGAGTTTACAAGCGATGACGTAGGAAATTGTTCCAGCGATTTGTTTATCCCACTTTGCCTCTGTAGCTATGTGAATTGCCATAGGAGATTTCATCAAAGTTCGCTATTTTTTTTGCAAGTAAAATGTCAGATAGTGATGGATATATGTCCTCTAGTGAAAGTTCCAACGTACAAGAGTTGGAAAGTAGCGATGAAGTCGTCTGAACAATTTCCTACGTCACGGCATTGTAATACATTCGTTTTGGCCGCGCGCAAAATGGACCCACTTTCGGTTGTCAAATTCGAACTTTGAACAGCAAAAAGTCAATTTTTTCTCTCTTTAACATTATTCGCTTTTGGCAATTTCGAAAAGTAGACATAACAAGCGACAGAAAAACGAAAAAAAAAAATTCACTTCAGAGACACTTTAAATAATTGTTTCAAGTTGTGAATGAAGTTGGAGGTTGAAAGGTAGAATCACATGCCGTGCGCCATTGAATTTATCATACACTAAGTAATCAAGGTTAAACGAAGTTGAGAAAAAAAATTGAAAATCCGTAACTGAGAACAGAAAGTCTCAGTAGTCACACCACGTCATGTCGCGTTTCGTCACGCAACGCTCGTCGCGAGCCCAATATTTGCGTAGTGGACTATATCAGACTCGAATTATGCCATAATTTATTTAATGAACCGTCTTAGTTTGTTGTTTGAAGCTCTTGTGCCATGCAGAACTTGCCCGTTTGCATCGATCCGAACTTCGCAACAAATGCGAATTGGCAGGTAGTGAGAGGAAAAGGTCTCATTCTTTCAGGAAAATGTCTTTGCGAAACTCGAAAGTCTCCCGAGATAATTCTATGTCAAATGTTTCGTGAACGGAAACGAGAAGCTTGATGTTGATCTTATAGGTTGCAAGATACGACCAAACAAACCCTGATGGACATCTTCGACGAGTTGTTGGATCCCAGCAGAGATGACACCAGGTATGAGCTGCTATACGTAGAATAGTTAATTTACCAAACGAGGACGACTACCTCCAAGCAAAATGCAATCTTTTGAAACATTCCCCTAATGACATGGTCGTTCAGTTTTCCTTTTACCCGCGTACATTGCTTCAAAATGCGTTTAGCTATCTTTCAGACCATAGGAACTTCGCGTACCGATTGCTTGCTTAGCAAACGTTCCGTTCCTCCCCATGCCTAGTTTTTACTCTAACCCCAATTTTCGCGCGACCAGCTGGCAAGAAACTCTTTGGTCGTACGGGAACGCTGGCTACGCCGGCGAGCGGATTGATTATGTTACACACAGCTATGCCGGCAGCAAGCACTATAATAACTTGACATTTAGTATACTCTCCACCTCTGGTTATTAGTTTAAATACACGCTTCTCACACTTCTCATAGCATTAGATAAGTCGCTTGTATATACTCATTGTCTTCTATCACAATTTTTAGAGTCAATTCCTAGTGCAAGAGTTTACTGCGATGCACCTTTATGTTGTTAATTTTGTACCGTAACAGATTCACTTTCTAGCTTTATTTTAAATATGGAGTGTTCTTGCTCTTTTTTTCTCAGGGGTCAAGACAAACTCTCTCAAGTTTTCAGGACGTTTGCATTTTCTCTGGTCTACGGTCTTCCATGTTCAGGCAAGCAGGGCTTATCACTTACGGGAAAACGTGCAACCGTGGAAGGCTTTAGACGGACGCCAACTGACCTTAACGGATTGCAAATCAAATCTGGGTAAGTCGCAAACGCTCTTCTAATTTGATCTTTTCAAGTAAGTTAAACTCAAAAGGTGTGCGGAAATATGACCTGATAGATTTTAAGGTAACAGTGTTAAATGGGACTTACGTGTGAGTGTTTTCATCCCTTATAGGAGAGGAAAGGATTACTTCCAGTATCCATCCAATCTGTATTCCTCTTCTTCTTCAAACGCGGAGGTTTGTCCGACTGTTCGTTTTGTCTTTTACCTTTACTTAGTTGTTGCTTTTATTGCACATTATGGTTGACGGCTTAGTTATGCTTTCAGTCTTATTCACATTCTGTTCATTGTGGAATTCCCGTATATCTTTTCTTTCCAGTGTCGCGATGTTCACTTTATTGACTATGCCACTGCTCACTGGTTTGATAAATCTGGACAGCTCCCTATTCTCAATGACAAGGTTTGAATCTTTCAGTTTGTTGGTCAGTCTTTATTAAGAACACGCCTTCTTTTGTGCATGGATTCGTCGTGACCTCCATTTGCTTTGTTTTTGTTTCCCTCTCTGCCCTGGTCAAGCATTGACTCAACGCTACATAGTTAGCTAGTCTTTTCAGCCTTATAAGGTTGTCTTCAGCGAACGTCATGGTGCTTAAGTCATTCAATAAGCTGCATCTTTCTGGCTAGGCAATCAGGCCATAGAATAACCCATGTCCTTGAGGTCGTTTTCTCGTTGTGGAGTCCAAGACTTTCTATGTCCGTAAATATTGAAAATGTAACCTTGTAGTCGAGCTCTCGTTGCATTCACAATTTGATTCCTCTTTTCAAGCAATTGCCCGAGCTGCTGCTTGTCGTCTAGTCTTGCAAACAACGTATACACAACGCAAAATGTATAAAGACAAAGGCCCACCCGATCTTCCCGACTCCCACGATCCCACCAATATGGTTAGCTAAATTCACGTCTTTTTTAGGTGCTCTCCACGTCGTCAAATGACAACTCGTCGCTTATCAGCAGTGATAAGCCTGTTACATACCGTATCTATAGTGACCAAAAGCGAGTGACGCCCAAGGGAGCTGAGTACGTAATCTGTGAAGTACTCTATAGTCATTGGTATTTAATTGATTAATAGGGCACAGGCTAGGGAATAATCAAAAGATTTGGATGTCAGGGAAGAGTCAGGAAGGGAACCAAGCGTCCGGTTGGGGACATTTTTTTGCAATTTCTTTAAAAGGCATGCGGGGAATTTTATTTTGTAATTGATGAATAAGTGTTGCTGATAACTATCGTCATACAGTGGTCACTAGTAAAGTTCACTGGGCAATTCAGTGAAGCAAATTGATCCATCAATAAACTGTTTTTCATGTCAGTCCTCTTATGGCCAGTGGCCAGTAAATTGCTTTCTGCTAAATGGAAAATGAGCAGATTTTGTTTGTTTCCTCTGACGCTCTTAAGTTTGCCGCAATGCATGTCTCATGTACTTGAGGAAACTGGCCTTCACTAATGTCTTACCTTCTCTAACAAAATTTCTGTGTCGTTTTATTTGTGTAGCTGTGTCTACTGGGATTATTCCAAGTCAGCTTGGTCCAAAGAGGGCTGCACTAAAAAGGTGAGTAGTTAGCTTGGCTCTTTATTAATCGTTTGTGAAATTGTTATACTTGATGAGTGACTCTTAATCATCACTGAACAGTGAAAAATTGCGTTCTCTGACCAACTCTCACAAGCTTAGGCACAGACCTAGTCTTGGCCTCTCCTCTAACACCTGTACCATTTCAGACCAGGCGCAGTCTGTGATCTAATTTTTGGCGATTCATTGTTGATGATGGGCAAAATTATCGGGGAAATATTTAAAAGGATATCTAACTTCACAAACCTAACAAATTTAGGCTAAAGTTTTCAGACTCGCGACCATAGGTACGACAATCCTTCGTTCGTCTTGTATGAGTTAATATCCTATACCTCGCCTAAAGTGAATAGTTGTCTTGATTTTCCACCTCTTTAGAATGATATAATTTATATCTGGGAGGTGTGGGTAGAGGAAGTGGAACATTGACGTGTGTTTTCGCTCTTTTTTGTTCACCAGAGTGATGACGGCGACTTTGTAGAGTGCCAATGTGACCATCTGACGAATTTTGCAGCTCAGGGAGAAAGTGATGATAGGGCTGGTTATAACATCGCTTTCTTTATCGTTTGCTTTGTGTGTATGGTAAGTCACCGAATGAATGCTCTTACATTAATGATTGTTTTGCTTGTCCAGTAGTGTTAGTCCGCATTACTTTTCCTTGTTAGTTCCTACCATAAGAAAATATAGGGCATCAAAATGACTGTATGATAACCAGGTTAGCTTCTCTCTTATGGTCGGTCCTTAGAGATCCTCATGTGGCCAGGAAAGAAACTCTCAAGACTAGAGTGAAGAAAGTCAGTAATTAAGGGACACTCTCTTGATGAACTAAAACATGGTCAGAACTTACATCAAACGAAATATATTTTTACCTCAGTTGCCACTAATCTCGCAATCTGATTGGCTATTTTGTCGTTGTCGATAAGAGTCCAGACAACGCTGCTCGCGTCAATGTGTCACGCTCTTGGTCACGCTCTGAAAAAAACATTTTCTTTAACGCTGATATTGTGGTACAAAACAAATCGAATGTGGTTTAGCGTTGTCTGTACTCTTATCGACAACGATATGCGTCATCACAGTGGTCAAAATTTGTTGTGGACTCACTCGGCTGCGCCTCGTGAGTCCTCGTGATGACGCATATCGTTGTCTATAAGAGTACAGACGCTAAACCACATTGGATTTGTTACGTAGAAATCAGTAAGGCAAACCTATCTGGCAATCCGTTTGATCATTGCGTACAAGTTTGTTTCTGCACAATCTAATCGAGTTCTTTCTTTTCCCCTATCAGGGTGTGTTTTTCGTGGCCATATTCATTCATCACGCATGCTCTGTGGAAAACATGTTTGCGGCCAAGCTGCTGATGCATTTGTTCTTCGCTTGCATGATGTCTCAGGTACGCTTCTGAAGATTAATTTGTCACGTTCCTTCATTGACGAATTGTATATTGGAGGACTAAACGGCTTTCTTTATTGTGTTATTTTTCAGCTGATGTTCGTTCTTGGTGCTTATCTGAGCCCAACACTGGTGGAGGAACATACCCGTTGCTCCGTGCTCGCAATGTTTATTCATTACTTCTTCCTTTGTCAGTTTTCTTGGATGTTTATTCAGGTAACATCAAATTGTATATATATGTATATTGTATGTATATAAACTTAAGAAAATAGTTTCCTTGTCTGGGTTAAGTAGCTCACCTAGAATACCTTTGTTAAGATTGCGGGCTACCTTGGACTATGATCTGAATTTTTTAAATAAAGACATTTTTTGTTTTTGTTGTTGTTGAGACAAGAAATCGACGACATTTTGCTCAGTCCTTTCCCCCTTTCGTTATTTATTGTAATAGTTTGGTCTCTGTGTATACTGCGCTTTTATTGGCTAAAAAGCCATTTCTTTTATCACACCTTATAATACAATTGATTGTGTACCAGCTCTAACTGACTAAAAAACATTTTTTCTTTAACCACAACCTATAATACATTTTTGATTTTGTAGACGCTTTGACTGGATCAAGGCCATTTTTGACATTTTTGTTCCACGGCTTCTATTACAGTTGTGTTCCTGTGCGCGCCGTTATTAGTTACATAGCTACTTTCGAAATGTAGAAAAAATATTCTCTGCGGCTGGTGTTCATTACATTTTTCTTATGTTCTCAAATTACTTCTTGTTTTATGACTGTCAATTTCTCTTTTTTTCAGGCATGGAATCTATGGCGTATTTTTGTTCTGAACGATGAGCACACTGACAGGAAACTTGTTATGTTCTTTGGTCTAGGATGGGGTAAGTATGAATCTGAGTTGAAAATAAATCGTGAATGGTTTGTTGTTACGTATGGCAGGTTTTATCCTTTAAAGTCTTAACAAGAGGTCTAACAACGATCTTTGTGTAATTTTACAAAAATGTCATGAAGCTCGCGGGAACAAACAATTATCGCCAGGCAGGCTAAGAGAAGGGCAGCCTAGCAGTACTTCTGCAAATTCTACAAACTAATACATGTTGATGTACCCTGAGCACTGCTGAGAGACCAGTGAGAGAAAACTGCAAGTTAAGTTGACTTTTAATCAGAATCCCTGGGGGGTTTTGGGCCGGACATACCACAAGTTAACATCGAGGAATAAAGGCTTATCCTTTATCATTTTAAATCGCTTTGAGTAGTTAAGAAAGTGTCTTCAACATTTCGAGATGCGTCAGAATTGTTTAAAGTTTATATAGCTATTCCCTGCCTCAGTTTAATTTCACTCTCCAAGCCAGTTTTTGTCTAAAGAGTGAGAGGTTTTGTATGCAGTGAAATGCAATTTAACCGAGCGGTGAGCGGCGTTTAGACCTGCGCATGCGCCAGGAATCCACGTGTTCTTGAGCCACAAGGAGCTGTAGTAGTTTTGCGTTGAGTCAGCGTTTTCCATTAGCGTCAGAGTTTCAAGCGTAGGGATTCTTCTCAGAGGTTGTTTTCACTTGTGACGGGTGCCTGTTTTCCTCCCTTCTACGTGGGGATTCATGGCTTGGTTTCCAGGATTTGCCAGCCATGGGAGCAGTCTTCATCTAGGCGTGGCTGCTAATAGTGGAAGCTCCTGGATGTCTCAGGCATCCAACCTCCACTTTGCGTGGCAGATGTTAAAGATTTGATGCCATCTTTGAATGTAGTCATAACATGGGATGTTCCTTCGTTTATCAGGGATGCCTGTTCTGATCATTGTGTTGTATATTCTCATAACTCAACTCGCCATCGAGTGGGAGTTTACAGAAGCTTATGCTGACGTGCACAGTAATGGAGACATGTGAGTATAAAGCCTGACCAACATTGGCTAGTTTTCTTTAAAGACCTTTACCTTTTTTATGTTTTCGTTGATCGAAACTGCCGAAGACTTGCCGAAACTGCCAAAGCCACTATCTGGAAAACGTAGACCCGAAGAGACTAGGGAGATTAGAGGGTTTCCCCATCATCCAAAATGATTTTCCAACGTTGCTCAACTTCCTTTCACCAGGTGCTTCATACCAAACACGATCGCCGCACTTTCCAGCGTTGTCGGCCCAGTCCTTCTCTTCCTGATGGCCGTTGGCCTGGTGTTCACACAGGCTTACCTGGTCACGCCCCAGTGGAAGCACTACGACGATATATTCCGTGGACATTACAATATTCGAGGTATTTTTTGTGATTCAGCCGTTCTGCTGCCTAAAATGTGCTTTGCTAGTTTATTGAAGAGCTAGTTTCACTGTTGTGTTTCGTTCAACAGCAAAGTAGAACTTATTGGAACTTGTAGAAACTTATTGCATCCTACATCAACGTTTCTCGTTTTGTATTCTATTCTTAAGTCGTTTTGGACTTGTGCTAACTTTTGTGATACCTCTCGAACTCGACGCGTTGACTTAAGATAACCGCCGCCTGGGTAGCTCAATTGGGAGAGCGCCGGACTGCTGTGCGGGAGGTCGAAGGTTCGAGCCCCAGACAGGACCAACACTCAGGGTCTTAAAATAACTGAGGAGAATGTGCTGCCTTTGTAATTACATCTACAAATGGTTAGACATTCAAGTCTTCTCGGATAAGGACGATAAACCGTAGGCTCCGTCTCACAGCACTTCACTGATCTGGTTCTTGTGGGACGTTAAAGAACGCATTACACTGTTCGAAAAGAGTAGGAGACGTAGAACCCGGTGTCATGGTCTATCTGACTTGTGCCGGTCATTGGTCTGGGGTGGGTAAGGTGAGATCATACATGGACTGAAGTGGCCGCAAAGTGCGCCTTCGTATGCTGACGTCCGATCTCACCTCTCTGGTTCCTCCGCAATTCAGCCTCTGGCTGCAAGGGAGGAAATTGGCACCAACTATCTATCTATCTAAGATCCGTATGCAACACTTTAAATCGTCAAGATGAATTCTCATTGAAAAGAAAAATATTATAAAATAGAATGAAAATGAAAGGCAATAAGATGTAAGTTAATTTTGCTTTCTTTTTCTTGTTTCTAGAAATTCGTTATATCATAGCTCTGTTTGTTCTGATTACACTAGTGTGGTTGTGTGCTGGGTTTCATCTGGCCTACGGTAACGAGTGGATACTCGTTATATTTATGGTCTTTGACGGCATACTGGTAAGGACTCGCGTGAAACATTATACATGCACTTGCAGGTTTTGTAAAACCTTGGATTACAGACATTTGAAACCGTCAAAATGAAAGAGATTTCCTAAATCCCCGACGCAAAAGTGATTCACTATACATCATTGATTTTAATGATCTCTTTTGATATTTTTTTGGTAAATTTGTAGTTAAGTTTATTAGGGCCATTATGTAAACTACTGGCCCAACAGTAATCGATATTAACCCTTGAAAACAAAAATGTCTTGTTATTCCTCTCCCACTACAAGCCCACGGGTTTGTATTAAAATTTAGCTCTAAATAGTGATGGAATTTCTTCCAATTATGTGCTCCCACTGTTGGGGACTATGTTGCATATTAACTATGGTGACTTTGTTAGTTTTGATTTGACTACTGAAGGGCTTATTTTTGTTTAATCGCCATATTTTTAGAGATCTGCCACATAAGATTGCAACTGCAAGACCAGCTTTTTATTCGCCCTCGCCCCTGTTGATAATCCCCCCCACTCGCCCACACACACCGACAGTAAACACTCTCGAAAATGAATATCCTCAAAACTGCTTTTGAACGAAAATTAAGTTGAGTATTAACCATACTTATTTGTTCTTTTGTCGTCTTCAGGCATTATACGTGATGATCTGGTATTGCTTGCTGCGGAACCAGTTACGCGGCGTGTTCAAACAGTCTTTCGCCATCCCATCTGTATCACCACCACCTATTGAGTTGCGTGACGACTTGTTTAGAGACAGTCCGGGTAGTCCTGGGCACTCCATATCCAGCCTCAAAAGATCCGGGATGAGGAATTCCCCGGATGACCCGGTAAGGCTAAGCAAATAGTTAAGTATTATCTTACGGGAGACGAGTTTCCCAGCGCCTCATAGCTCCCCAGTCTACGTTGAAAATCTAAGGATGTAATTTATCGTCAGTAAGAGGACACACGTTTAAAGAACTGACGTTTTTACAGCTAAAATATAAAATAACCCTCAAGAGAGGAAGGCGCTGATTAAGAATGCGTCAGCAAGTTGTTTTGTTTGCTCTTTAACTGACGACAAGAGTCAACCAACCAATGCACAAGGAATTTATCAGTTATTTCGCAGCAAAATCTGAAAGAATTATCTAACATAACTGTAGCGGACAACTTACCATTTCAAGTCGCTTTAAGGACCTGTCACGCCGACATACGCGGACGAGTTGCGCCGATCGTTATCGAACATTCGTGTTCCGTCAGTCCTTTCAGCGTTATCCATAAGTCCAATGACTAAAGCAGCATAAGCGTTTTAACGTCCGGTCTATAAAAGGGCATACTGATGACCGCTTTGAACATAAATCTCTGTTCAAAATTCGAGAGAAACCTGAACACTCTGCCCTTTTAACAGTACTAGCTGAGACTTGAGCACTAGACATGTCTTGGACTAAAACAGTACTAGCTGAGTCCTAATAAATGAGCTCCTGTAAAAGCTGGTCAGTGCAAGGTGTATATACATTTTTTAAATTGCAGAAATAAACATCTAATTTACTGACATGCACGATATAATGTAAACCATAAATCTAGCTTGTGAGTCTTAAAATATGGTGTCAGTAGCAATCGCTGAACTCTTACCTACTATGCACTAATAGTGTAGTTAAGTAACAGTGTAAGTATTCCTGAAAGTATTACTGAAAGTGAGCTTTTGATATCATTGTACCCCAAAAACTGACTAAAATCACAACTTTGTAATAGCTTTCAAGAGACACGTCTCAAATTCATGGTGTCACTATCACCAACTGAGATTCGCCTGACGTCTGAGATTCGAGTCAAAATATTCCATGATGATGATGTCATCTAACTTAGACCTGCAGCCAAGCCTGCAGAAGACGGATCTCTGAAGTGCTACGTCATCGACGCGATGACGGTTGAGATTTTAACTGAAATCTACCAGGCATTTCCGTTGAAAGCAAATGACTTGAGTCGTCCTAAATTTCACATTTTGCATCAGTGTTCGAAATTTCCAAGAAATGCAGCCTGCTCGCTAAATACGCGATTGGGGTATAATGCTATCCCTAACACCTAAAATGCTCGTTCCAATTTACAGGTATAAATTGTTATAACCGTTGTTTATTTTTCTCTTTTAACCGAGTCAGGTTTATCTGACGAGAATTGAAAGACGCGAGGGATCCATTGTTGGATATCCGATTGCAAGAGTTGTTGTTAGTTTTGATAACTTTCAATACTTTCCTTTGGTTGCTAAGACCCTATTCACAAAGGCGTATTCTAACTTTTTCAACATCGCTAAAAAGTTATGTTGGTATTCTCGTAAACAGAAAAGTCTTGGTCAAATTTTATTTTGTAAACTTCATCTTTCATAAAACAGTGGTAGCTATTTGTGAATAGGGTCTTTGTAAACTATTTTTAAAGAAGACCATTTAAATATAACGAGTATATACTTGAACTCATAAACACGTTAATTAACTGCATATAACAGTCTGAACAGTAGTGATAAAATATCATCTGCCTAAATGATCGTAGATTTAAATTTTGTATCGTTCCCTTACTCTTTCGTTCTCACCGTTTCCTCTTTGGGCACAGTAAAATCACTCTAACACCCTTAAGTACACTTCAATCTCCCTCATTATGTTAAAGTATAGTATCGAAAACTTGGTAAAACCTATTGTTTTTGCTTGTGATTCTGTAATGCACTTTGCAGTCAGAGGAAACTTTAACTACAGAACTCCGATCCTTTCTTTCTTTGGCTGCTGAAATCTCTTATACATATTTGTCCTTCTATAAATATTTGAACTGACTAAATATTTCATTTTGAATCTTAATGTTATGTGTTATAAATGATGGTTATTCTTGTAGACAGAAAAAGACGAGAAAAAAAGACCCCAAGAAGAGAATTCGCAATCACTCAAATATGGGAGCAATATAAAACTTCTCATGTTGGAGAATTTTGTTGGATGGAATGATCCGATTAACAGTGAAATAACTTAAAACTCATGCTGTTTCCCCTGCCCACACCATACACAGCACTAGTTAGTCTTAATTAACAAGATTTGTGGTTTTCTTCCCTAATTCACTTGAGAATTATTCCTAATTGAACTGGTGTCCTCTCTCGCAGACTGACTGGGATGACCTGGACTATGGAGCCACGCCAAAAGGCAGCCGTAAAATGCTCGTGGACATGGACGACACCGAGAGCCTCGGACGAGTAAATGAAATGTACGAAGATGAAGACTACGAGAACCAGGACTTCGACGATCTGATATTTGCACTGAAAACTGGAGGCCAGTATGAGCAATCACGTGACGACGAAAAGATACCGGAAATGGAAATCGACGGACATGTACATGAACATTTTGCACCGAGGAGAATATCCATCGCAGATACACATCTATAACAAACGTTTTAAGTTGGATATTCGGTGTAATCTTTACTTGTAGTGTGCAATCTTAAATGCTTACAGTTAGAATATGATAATTGAAACGGCTACTTGTAAATTCTACAAGCTTACCTCATGCTTACTTAAAGAGTGTTGTTTTAAATGCTGTTACATCATTTGTTTTGTTACATTTTTCTTTTTTTTAATCCTGATTTAAAAAGACTTCGGGAACAAAGCTATGACATGTAAGTACATATAGGCTTACCAGGTATGGTATGCTGCTTGTATCAAGAATGATATTAATATTATAAAAACTGGTATGAATCTTTCAACTCTCTCTTGAGGGCTTCACAAGGCAAAAGTATTGTCATTACTAAGGAATGATGCCTTGTATTTTTGATGACTTCAGTGTTTTATATAGTTGTAGATAGTCTTATAATTTCTTTTTGTAAACTTTTTTTTTATTTGAAAGTTTGTTTGTAAACTAAGCTGACCAAAACAGTGATTACTAGAACAATTTCCGAATTCAAATAAGTGTTTTTTTTTAAAAATTTTTTATCTTTGAAAAAATTAGTGTTTTGCAATCTTGTAGAATCTTTATGGTACGTGAATAAGTAAGTTTTTGCCAAATTTGTATTTGAATTTCTATACCGCAGGAACGGATTTGTAAAATACGAAATATTTCAGAAAGCCTGTTATTTAATATGTTTTTAGTTCCAAAGAATTAACGCACTAGTGTAGCTAGGATTCATTTCATAATTATTAGCTATCTGACAGGAATTAATTTGTAGACTAATTATAATTGGTGTGAATATAGACAAAGCTGAAATACTAATAAAGAAAACATATTTTTGCTGTCTTAGTGGAAGAAATGTTTTGTAAGGAAGCTAAAGCAAGCATTTTAGTACTTTTCCGCCCTAGCTAATGGAGATATTAAATCACCCAGCGAGGCTGTGATCTCGACGAAATCACCTGTTTGCCTGATTTTCTGCCACGCGAAGTTGGTTTTGCAAGCCGCCCTTGCTCTTTTAATTGTCAATATTCAAAGTTAGCGCCGAAACTTCCTTTTATTGGAATGCCACCGTATCCATAGAAACCCTTAGTAGCAGCTTACGTTTCGGATAACGTATCTTTCATTCAAGCTAAGTTTTAGTTCAGTTATCTGCCGAAATTTTTCCTAATCGTAAGTCTCTATTCTGATCACCCCCCGACGGATCATTTTTTTTCTTAATTATTTCCCACATCAACATGAAGTTCTTGAGAATGGAGTGCACTTTAGGATTTACACTAACAATTAAGCACACGGCACACGTAAATAAAGTGGCCGGGTATTCGGAAGTTGTTCCGGAGGATTTACACAACTATCACGAGTAGGGTACATCCTTAATAGGCCATTTCCAAATTACTTTGAGCCTCTTTCTCAAAACGAATTTTGGTGCCCATCCTTTCATATGAAAATGAGATTTCATTCACATGCTTCGGCTTAGGTCAACTCGGAAATTGGCAATTGCTCGAACCTTCAAAGTATTACGCATTTATTATATGACTGGGAAAATCACGAAAGCGTGCGCGTTAATTTGCACATTTGAAGTAATTTTTCAGTTACACCCTCCTTTCACTGGAGTCATCCGGCATGTTCTCTTGAAATGTTTCATGTACAATAAAATTGCAAAGCATAAGTGAAACGGTTTTTGAAAATTGTCATGTTATGTAAAATGTTGTTACGACAATCTGCAATCTTTAAACACACGGTGGGTGCTTTCCTCATTCGACCAAAAATTATTCCGGAAATTTCGGACCCGGATGGAAGGAAAGTACATCACCTCTTGTTGAACCAAATTTACTTTTCTCACTTGATGCACTTTGCTGGTTTGAAAGTATGCAGGTAATTAGGTGATTTATTACAGTCCTCTCGCTGTCACGCAACGTTGCGTGACAGACAGGAGGGTCTTTACTCGTTCCAAGGCCACGCCAGTTAACAGGGACGGGTTGCTGCAGAAAATTTGGAAACTGGTTTCATATCCGGGTTTTAAAAAATTGGCGGTTTTACAGTACCATGTGGACGAGTGGACAACGAGTGAACAGGTTTGCTAAATTTGCTGCTTATTTATAAGCTTTATTCGTCAACCGAATCGACCAGACGATGTTTTCATGAACAAGCATCGTGTCAGTGGCCAAAGTCAGTTGACTGCTTCAACGAGGTGAGCACGGAAGACGCTGAGCTTATTATTCAGCTTATCCTAGAGGTCACAGAGTACGCCACGTGTAAACCTTTCGAGTTTATATCGTAAAACACGTAACTATAGCCAGACTCTGTTATACGAGAACAGGGAAGAACATTTTTTAATTGGCCAGGCTGCCAACTTAAAGGCCAGTATGCTTATAACGTCGAGCTTTTATGACGGTTCGAAGGGAAATTTATAGAAGGTTTTTTTATGGATATATGAAGACCTTTAATAAGTTGCAATTCAAATACATTTTCTCTAGAGCACGAATGGATAGCAAGGCTTATTTTCCCATTCAAATCCAGCCATAAAAATACCTTCTTTTAAGATATAGGCCTGAATATGAAATTTGTTTAGAGACAGGATTCTTTGCATGTGCTGAATGGATCTTGAGCTTTGTACAGGAGGTGAGTGTAAGACCTGACCTACAAAGGGGTTGGTCCACCTGGCAAAATCTTTTCCTGAGCTTCTTGATCTGTGAAGCAAAGACTGGTTCTACATCCAAATTATTTTCTTTTCCTTTTTTGTACTTTAGGAATTTCATCATTCACTTTTGCGGTTTGCATACATGAAGCTCGAATTAGTAAAACACCTCACTGTGTGTAAATGTGTTTAGGAACCAGGACTGTCTACATGTACATGCGCTGAATGGATCTTGAGCTTTGTACAAGAGATGGGTGTAAGACCTGACCTACAAAAAGGTTAGTCCACCCAGCAAAATCTCTTCCTAAGTTTCTTCATTTGTGAAGCAACTCCTGCATCCAAATTATTATTTTTTCTTTTTCTTCATAAGAGGAATTTAAACATTTGCCAATATGGTTTGCATTGCCATAAAGCTTAAATCAGTAAAATTTCTTTTCATTTCAATTTTCATGAGAAAATGACAGCGCATCTAAAACTGTTTTTAAACCAGGACTGGCCTCCCT